TATTACATTGTCTAATATGATTTTTGACATATTCTGTATGCTTAGGAAATTTAAATGACTATATCATTATCCCACTAGGACTATCAAAATTGTGTAAAAATGTTCAAGGTAGAAGTAGGTAAATTTCTAAGTAGTTCATACATGAAGATAGTAAGAAAAATCTAGTTTGTTTGATTATTATGGATTGTTTTCTTTGATTTTATAAATAAAAAAATTCTCTTTGGAATTAAGATGCTTTATTGGCTTTTTGGATTATTTTTAAAAAATCTTAATAATTAGTATTATATATTTATAATCCATTAAAAATAGAAACTTGCTTTATTCTTATCAAACATATTCAGTATTATTAGATCATCAGATTTTGTTTTGAAATTTTTTAATAAGTATTTTTAGCTAAAAAATTTCTTTGAGTTCTATCATGTACAAATTTAAAACTTCCTTTATTGAGAAAATAATGTGAAAATTTTTTATGGATTCATTCCTTATATTTTTAAGTCATTTTCAACTCAACTATAGTATTAAGAAAATTATGTGCTCAGAGATGTGTTCAGTATCTGCTTAGGTGAGTAACAACTAATAATTTAAAAGTTTAATCAAAAGAACTTCCAAATCAGTGAAAAGGTAACATCTGATGGTTCTTTTGTCCTACACAAGTCTTTTTTGCCAAAGTAATACATTCAGCAGATATAAGAGAAGAAATCCTTCAGGAAAATGTATTCCTTGAATGTGAATACATTAAAGAATTTGAGAAAATCCTTCCTTTATATAAATTTTTTTACATTAGTTAAATGAAATAAAATTTGGGCGGGGGATTAAGTAACTTAGAACATATATTTCATCTGGAAATTTAGTTTGATTATATATTATATTGTTCTTTAAATATATATATATATATATATATATATACACACACACAAAATTATCTCCTATTAAATGTCAACAAACATATATACAAATAATACAAATATTAATTTTCCTAAACTGGACCCATTTTATTTGTTATACAAAAATAAAGCAATGAAAATGGTTCTTTTATATCATCTACTTAAACTGGGACATAACATTTGTATAGTAAATATTATATGATATTGTGTCTTTTATCAAAAGATACCTCATATATCATCTCATGTCTGTTTAATATATTTTGAGTTTCCTGTACTTTTGGTATAATAAATTTATTAATTCAAAAATTTCTTGAGCTACCTCTACATGGCAAGTGCTATAGTAAGTGCAAGGGATACTAAAGCATAATGCTTGCCTGCAGAAATTTCAGTTTCATGCAAGAAGTGTTATGTACAAACAAATCATAACAAATACTGTGATCCATGCTGTGACAATCAAATTATTCAATACTGATGACAAAAGTAGTCTATGATGAAATCTGTTTAATTAGGTATTTGAGGTATATTCTCCTGAAATATTTCTGTGGCTTTTACTGAAAAAAATGATTTTTGAGTAATACAGTATAATATTTATTTAAACTAATTTGAGAGTGAATTGCTTCCTATTTTCATACTTTTATAATGAAATGTTCTACATTTAGAGCTGAAAAAAGGGCAAACATGCAGATAATTTAAAAATTGTGCTCTCTTCTTAAATTTAAACTGTTTTAAAATGCATGCTGTTAAAAGTCCCTCTCTGAAGACTGAGGAGGGGAGAAAAGAAAAATCAATATTAACTCATTTGTACTCATTTTATTGATTAGATAGATTCTATGCTTAAACTTGGAAGGGTTTTTTTTTTTTTTGTATTGTTTTGTTTTGTTTTTGTTTTGTTTTTACCTATTAAAACCTTGGTCTCTTTCAACTACCCTCTAAAACAGAACATTTTAGCAGGGATTCTCTGCAGAGTAATTTGTATATTAAATATTGAAAAACTATAATTGAGAAGAGTGGGAGTTTTTCAATAATTGAAGCCTAGAAATTTATTGAAAATAACACATTTAAATAGAATGAATAAAAATGTTCTGTTTAAGTAAGTAGTGGATTAAGGCATTAGTTAATTTTCTTTCACTGAAAAAATATACAAATCCACTGAATATCTGCATTTCAATATTGTAAATGTTGGAAGGGAAGAAACCACTGACTGGGGCTCAGTGTTAGAAAATTCGCATTGCATGCATAAGGCCTTGATTTTGATCCCCAGCCACTGCCCTCCCCACCCCGCCCACTACCATACTAAAAAAACAAAAGTCCTTCATACCTGTGAGGATTTTACTGTGGAGTGAGAGAAAGCTAAGAGTTAGTTGTAGTAGAAGACATCATAAACTTCATAACTCAATACATATATTCCATAAAGTTCTCATAAATAAAAATGTTTGAAGAAAATGCCTTATGATAACAATTAAAATCTTTTTTTCCTTTGTATTAGTGCAGTGCAGAAGACCACTGGCAAAAGAGGGATTGTTATTTCACGTTCCATGTATCCTACTGGTGGAAGATGGGGGGGACACTGGCTTGGAGACAACTATGCACAATGGGACAATTTGGACAAATCCATCATAGGTATGAGCTAATCTGCATCTTTATCTTTTTTTTTTTTAATTGTGTTCACCTTTGATGGTGATAATTCATAGACTTTTCAAATCCTTAGGATTATGCTTTTGGCATCAAATGTGATGACACAGAGTATCATGAAAGGGCAGTAGTCCAAGAAACAGAATCAAGTTTGCTATATAAAAATTAATGACACCAAGTAGCTTATTTTGAGAAAATAAATTTTATCCTTTTTGGTCTTAGTTTCTTGGTTGAAAAGGCAGGATCTGGGAAAGAGTATCTAGAACTAATAAAGAAATGGGTAGAACTGCTAGATTCTAGGCATAAGAGCCACTGAAAGATGCTCAAGAATAAAATATGTCAAACTAAATTTTGAAAGAATATTTGAACAATATTTAGATAACTGGTAAATTGGACATTATCATTGTATATTTCTTCACTAATCATAGATTTAAGGAGACAGTATTTAGAAATATTTCTTGAACAAATATCTGGGGAAACATATGTGTTCTATTTGTTTCAGTGATCACTTCTTAGAGATTTTATTTAATAAAGATAATTCATTTTATTTTAATGGATGAAACTTACAGTGAAATAATTGCAGAAACATCCTTTTTAACTTAAAAAAATGAAACTGGAAACTTTAAAAAATCAAAACCACTAATATTTTCTTTTTTTTCTCTATAATGTCTTCATAAAAGATTTGTACTCTGAATGTGTCATTGCAAATATGGAAGCTCATAATGTCCATTTCTAAACATTATTTGTAATACATAGTCAAAAAAACCAAGAATATTATAAGAATGAAAAATATAATCTAAAAAGGATTCATTTAATTGTAGACTGACATTAAAGAGTGTCTTCATTAATATGAGGAAAATATTAAAACATAAAAATAATTTTCTAAGATTTATTCTCCTAATTTTTAGGTATGATGGAATTTAGTCTCTTTGGAATATCATATGTAAGTAGATCTATTTCTCTTATTTTCAAAAGCTGAAAATATTTTTAAAAACATCAAATATTCAAAATAAATTATATAAAACAATATCTTTTAGATTGGAGCAGACATTTGTGGTTTCTTCAACAATTCTGAATATCATCTCTGTGCCCGCTGGATGCAACTTGGAGCATTTTATCCATACTCAAGAAATCACAACATTGCATTTACTAGAGTATGTTCTTATCACATTCACTTCCATTTCTTTTCTTTAGTGAACCTTAGAATTTTGAATAGAATGACAGTCATTAATTGACAGCATATTTGTTGTCACCTATTAAAATGTGAATTACCCTTTGTGTATGTTTCTCTAAATGATGTTCTTCTAAAATAAATCAAATGTAATTTTAATTTGCACTTTTCTTATTTAAATATGAATACTATGCTGTATCCCTTTATTATATAAAATAAAAATACTGCAAAAGATTTTGGGGAGAAAGAATGTATTACAGTGAATTAATGTAATTTTCTACTTTTATTGTTCAAATATATATTTGAACATTTTGATTTAAACAGAGATAAGGAATCATGGTGGTTTCACTTTGCTTTGTTTCAGAGACAAGATCCTGTTTCTTGGAATGAAACTTTTGCTGCAATGTCAAAGAGAATTCTAGATATTAGATATACTTTATTGCCCTATTTTTATACACAAATGCATGAAGTTCATGCTCATGGTGGCACTGTTATCCGACCCCTTTTGCATGAGTAAGTATAAAATTTGTATTTTTTCCTACTACAAAGAGATAACTTTAATTTAATGAATAATCTTATAGGAAACTTTTTTTTGCTGTTATGTTAACCAGGCATTTTGGGTTAATAAAACATTTTTATAAATACATCTACTAATAGAGTAGTATGAGTCAAAAATAAATGAAACACATAAATTATTTTGGTTTTAAAATAACTACTGTATAATGGGCATTATTCTAAATGTTTTGCATGTAGAATTACATTGCATATATTCAGAATTTCTTGGAGAAAAGTAGCGATTTAATTATTGAGTTTTAATGCAGATAATTAAGTCCACCAAATATGCCTGACTAAATAGCATACCAATTCTTCCAGGAGATATACTGACTGGGTACCCTAGAATACCTTAAACATTCTCCTAAGAAATATGTTTTAGATTTACTTCTTAAACCTCAATTTGATATATGACAAATCTTGAAAAATTCTTTTTCATCATAGAGCATTGTTGCAAACATTTTTGCTTGTTCTGATTTTTAAGGCAAATTCTGCGTCTTTATGTGAATATTACAAAAGAACCAAACACAATCCAATGAGGAATACAATA